CTTCACAAGTACAGCGCTGGGTACGCGGGCTTCGCTAAGCCCTTGTCGAGCCTCCTTCAGAAGGACGTCGACTGGCGCTGGGAGCAAGAGCACCAGGATGCTTTTGACAGCATCAAGGCCAGTCTCCAAGAGGCCCCTGTCCTGGCTCTGCCGGACGAGACGAAGCCGTTTAGTGTCGTCTGCGATGCCTCCGATTACGCCATCGGGTGTGCATTGCTGCAGGACGACACGGCTGGACAGGAACGAGTCATCTCATTCCAGTCCAGGCAGCTCAAAGCCGCCGAGCGGAACTACCCTGTCCATGACAAGGAGCTCCTGGCAATGAAATATGCCCTTGTGAAGTTCCGTGTTCACCTTCTGGGCTCTACGCCCTTTGTGATCTACACAGACCACGCGTCCTTGAGGACGGCGACTAACTCGCCTCACCTCTCCCAACGGATGGCGAGGTGGCTGTCCTTCTTCGCGTAATATAACTTCCGCGTCGAGTACAAGCCGGGCAAGCTCAACGTGCTTGCGGACGCCCTCTCTAGGCGTCCCGACTATGAGTTGGCCCACATCACGCGGGTGACAACGGATCTATATGATCGGATACGCATGGCGTATCGGGACGATGAGGCTGTCGCGCCTATCGTCAAGTTCCTTAAGGCCGGAACGAGCGCGAAGTCCGACTGGCTCTCGTCGCGACAGCGCTCACGGCTCCACCGATATGAGTTGAAGGAGGGCCTCCTCTATTATCGGGTGGAGCCCACTGATCCTCCACGGGTGGTCGTACCCAACGACGAGGATCTGAAGTTCGACATCCTCGCGGAGGCGCATGACGCGCCCTCCAGCGGCCACTTGGGCCGCGAGAAGACCTTTCTGTCGGTCTCTCAGTCCTTCTGGTGGACCCACATGTACAAGTGGGTCGCCCGGTACGTCAAGACATGTGAAACATGTCAGCGGGTTAAACCCGCAGGGCACTCTTCGGCTCCACTACAGAGCCTGCCCGTACCGGCTGATTGTTGGAAGTCGATGAGTCTTGACTTCATCTTTGGGCTTCCCGCCGACGGACACGGCAACACCGGAATTTTGGTGTTCGTGTGTCGGCTGAGCAAGATGGTACATCTTGCTCCAGTTCCCGTCACTGTGACGGGCGAACAAACCGCAAGGTTGTTCGTCGATGGCGTGTTCCGCTATCACGGTCTCCCGGAGACGATTGTCTCGGACCGAGACCCGCGGTTCACTGCTGCGTTTTGGAAAACGCTGTTCCCTTTACTGGGAACTCGTCTTCAGATGTCCACTGCGGATCATCCGCAGACAGACGGCCACACAGAGCGCGTCAATCGAGTGCTCGAGGACACTCTGCGCAGTGTGTGCGCGGCAGCGCCACGTACGTGGTCGACGAAGCTTCCAGTTGTTGAGTTTGCGCTCAACAACGCGGTGCACGCGTCCACGGGGCTCACGCCGTTCTACTTGAACGGCTTCCGCCACCCCAGAGTGCCTCTCACTCTTCGAGGAAATACTGACTCCTCTATTCTAAGTGGGGGAGAGGCTCGGAAAGCCCTTTCCTCCCAGGTCTCGGATGTGAGGCCAGTTTCGCTGCGGAAACAGGTGGAATCCTTTATGGATACCAAGCTGAACATTGTCAGCAGGGTCCGCGATGCCATGGCAGCGGCCCAAGATAAACAAAAGGAGTACTCGGACAAACAAGGAAGAGGAAACTTAAGTATATTTGAGATTGGTGACTTAGTGTTACTAGACACGAGGAACCTACCTCTAGACACTGTTAGCTCTGTCGGCAGCAACAAGCTGAAGCACCGCTTCATCGGACCTTTTGCAGTCCTGGCCAGACATGGTGCGTCGTACACCATCGACCTTCCAAAGTCAATGACGACGCACCCGACGTTCTATGTCGGACGTCTTAAGCGGTACTTTGACCCGCAGGGGGTTGCTGACTCGCAGAACCCCCTTGACCCAGCTCCTCGAAGCGAGGGCCGGTCACAGTCGTCGACGAGGGCGTCGGAGCAGGCACCTAAGCCTCGGTCGGGACGGCAAGGCTGCGGTCAAGACCGTACGCCGGAGGGGCTCCATACGAACGGACCCCGGCGCCATACGCCGAGTACGCTGAGTACGCCGGGTACGCACCATACGCGTACGTCTGGGAGTGTGCCGCAGGCGGCTCCGGACGTGGCAACAAAGCCTCGATCCGTCGGATCATGCGAAAGGCCTCGTCCAGATCGGACGAAGAGGCCCGGCGGTCCACCCGCAGGTGCAGGCTCGCGACCTCTCGCTCCACCAGGTCCAGGCGACCCGCAAGACGAGCGAGCTCGCCCTGATTCCCGGCCTGGGCGGCAGCATTACCGCCAGTCCCAAGGCCAAGTGCAATCTCAAGCACGAGGAGACGTTGACGGAGGCGGTCAACCTCAGGGTCCCGTGTCGGACCCGCAGTCGGAGCACTCGAACGCGAGGTGTATTAGAGAAGGGTCGAGCACGACAAGTCATACAGGGGCACACTCGGCCGCTGCTTTAACGGAAAATGGTGAAGTCCACCTTCCACCGTGGAGGCGGATCCTCCATGTACAACGTGATTGCGGGGAAACGCGAATGTCTCACTTGTGCAGGTATAGGGTTTTATGCCTAATTCCTTTAAATCATGTTGCTATCACTGATGTAACCAGATCTTTATATTGAGTGCCCCCGTAAGCCTTGTCGTAATCTCGGGGAACAA